ATATAATATATATATATATATATATGTATATATTCATATTTGCGCATGTCAGATACGTACACGTGTACTCACAAGCTGATCATCGCATGTACGTTCATGCAGGAGACGTCATATTTTAATCATATAAGCCAGTTTGTGCCGTGTATCGCACTCACATCTTATCATTGCATATGAATGCTTGTGTGGGTGCGTTCTCGCTCTAGGCGCTATCATTCCTGGATGTCCTTATTGCTACTGTCAAATTTTACTTAATACACGCATACACACATACAATCACACTTGTTGTTGTCATGTACCTATGGGCAGGGGGGGCTCGTGCAGCAAGTTTGTGCTGCTAGTAATTTATGATATGCTTGCTGTTATTAACACATCAACAGGCTATACGCGCACATACCTACACTCGCACTTAATTAGCGGATGTGCATACAGGTATGTGTGTGTCATTCAGTACGTTTGTACTTAGTCATGATTGATACGCTTGCTATCGTTGAACACACCACTAAAAATACGCGCACACACACGCAACACCCGCACTTTATACACATTCAGGCATGGGTGTATCGTCCAGCAAGTTTGTGCTGCTAATTATGGACGACATGCTCGCCAACGATCTCCAAAGAACGGGCCCTATCGTCATTGCAAGAGGCACGCACGCGTTTAAGGCGTCGCCGCAGAAGGACCTCACTCTGGCCAAGCCAAGCGGTGCCATCAAATATGGGCTGAGCAGTGGCTTTGCCCTGGGCTTAGGTAGGTAGAAGCCTGCGTTGGTGTGAATGTTGGTATTGTAGGTGTCCGTGTAGAGGTGTCTGTGCATGATGTATGTGTATGTTTATATTGTAAGTAACTGATGAGATGCATATATTTATGTTGCATGTCGAGGTGTATATCGGAGGTACCTGTATACGTTTATGCAGCTATCTGGCATGTATTTGTGTATGCACGCATATGGTACCAGATGTGCAGTTATGTGCGGATGTAGTTAGTTCTATATCGTCATAGCAATCTTTAGCCCTAGTCATACCAAGCGATGTTATTAAGTCGACCTCACTACATTTCACACAGGGGGCAGTAAGGCACGTCTTTGCACATGCGTGTACATATATTCATTCTTGAGAGTTTGTTGGTGGAAGGGCAAGCTATCCGTCGTTGAGTGTTTGTGCCTATAGTCTGGGCTTTGTGCTTGTAAAGAGGTGCGTGCACTCGTGGTTATAACGAATATACTGGACAAACGGGGGAGCACAAGTATAGTATGGGCAAATAATTACTTGCACACGCGCACAATATCTGTATGCATGTCTAACGCTATATTCTATTTAGACGATTACATAGGCGTCCGAAACGCTATATATCCGCTAAAATGGGCGAACTAGTTCTGAGGATAATCCATCCATCCATCCACGCAGAAGTATTTTTATGCTTGCCATATGTATTAATTACTGACCTTAGTACTTGTCATTTTCACTCACATAGAAGTACTTGTATGTTCACTATATGTATAGATTACTGATCGTTTAGTACACGCCATGTTAACCCACGCAGAATATGTTTATCATATACATTCGATTACCCGTCTCCTCTGATCACAACGCATTCTACAGAGGCCTCCGGTGGTCCTCATCATTCCAACTGAAAATGTACAGCTGAACAACCGCTTTCTACTCTTTTAAGCGGTTTATATATATATCTATATATCTATCTATATTATATATATATATATATATAAATATATGTATATATATATATATATATATATATAACATATACACACACACACACACATATATATATATATATATGGATGCTTCAGCATAGCGCCAATCTCTTCTACTCTACTAGACCCTAAAACTCGAAAAGTGCATTTGGATCTATAGCGCATGTATCTATCTACCTACACTCAGTACTTGATCTCATTTATACACACTATACCCCCCCCCCCACACAGGCATCCGAAAGATCTCGCTTCGACCAACGCAAAACGTGCGACTGTATAACCGCATGGTGCCATGCAAGGCGGTGCTACAAGGTCTGTTGGAAGTGCCAATGCTACAGACGGACTACCCCATCTACAATGTGTTTAGCGATATAGATGATATGGCATTAAAACCCGAGTGGCAGTAGCATTGCAAACCATTAGTCGAGTGGTGTATACTATAGTTGTGAATGCAAACGGACTGTGTCGACACGATTACTGCGAGTTATTATACGGGTACGCGTAGATTACATTGATGTGTTGTCAAGTGGTGCAAGCATACACCAGTGTACAAGCATACCTCCCCATTGACAACGTGATCACCCAAAGTTAGGCCAGAGTGGCGGTGCTAGTTGAATAGTGGGTGCGAGAGTATAGTCGCCTTTCTATTGCACGTGTGGTTCTGCAAGTATACATCCGCGATAAGTATTCGGTCATCTTGAGGATACATGCACACACACACACACACACACACACACACACACACAATATATATATGTATATGTATATATGTATATATATATAAATATATTGGGGTTTAGAAACGCTACATCTTGCCTATTTTATAATTATCTATTAATAGTCCATCGGGGCGTTCTGTATAGTAGTATCAAGCGCACTGGCAACGATTGTCTGTAACCTGAAGAAGCCCGCGAAGACATGCGCAACACCGGCTTGCGCTCCTACAAAGCAGGCGTAGAATAGATGCACAGCCTTAGGCGGCAAAAGAGTAGGTACCCGATTAAGGCAGGCATACGTGTAGGTACCCAAGTAAGACAGGCATAAGTGTAGGTACTCAAATAAGGCAGGCATAAGTGTAGGTACCCAAATAAGACAGGCATAAGTGTTGGTACCCAAAAAAGACAGGCATGAGTGTAGGTACCCAAATAAGGTAGGCATAGGTGTAGGTGCTCTAATGAAGGTGGGCATATCGATGGGCCAATCGGGCGTGCTACACTTATGCGCGCCTACAACGGCGATCATGGAGACGTTGGCTACACCAAACCCTAAAACCCTAAAACGACAGGCCGCAACCAGACACCCTGAATTAGGATGCCTGATTGACCACTGCATTTGGCGCACTGCCGTTGAGGCTTGTACTCAGCAGAGACCATGGCACTGTCAAATGTGTGCGCACAAGCAAGCAACTGACAAGTGGGTAAAACCCTAAACCCTGTGTGTATGACGGGTGGCCAATCCCCACCGCAATCCTCCCAGACATCGCATATCTAGCTACAAGCCACGAGTCGTAGTGGTCTGAGGCCCTTCGCACGAGGTCAAGAAAAGCGCATACCTGACGGCACATTCTCACGGATACAGTAAGTGTCCCCTGCGCAATATCGCTGCAGCTAAAAAACCCCCCCTCGTAAACCAAGTTCAAACCCTTCAGCAATGCATCGCGGTTTATTCGAAGCCATCCATAACCAACAAGCTCTGGTCTATCAGCAGTATACTGGCGGTGATGCGGTTGAGCGATGTCTGCAGCTTAGCAATGACGTCCTTCTCCTTGGCATTGAGCACCTCTTCTTCATCATCCCATGTCTCTGGGTCGTCCAGCAGAATCGTGTGCAGCGCCCCGTGCTCAGACACAAACGCACTGCCCAGGTCACGCACAATCTGTGGGTGTGGACAATTAACGAGGAAGACGACGTATGTGAACGGTACGCAACAGATGAGTATGATTAGTAGGGAGCAAACGGTTAGTATGGCGATGTATTCGCACACGCGAGCAATGCCCAAGTCACGCACTATCTGCGGATGTGGACAATTAACGAGGTATCGGAGACATATTGAAATGGATCGCACGATATGGAGAATGATCACTGGTAGGATTAATCTGTTTAGCACGGCGCTGTATTCGGAAACAAATACTATTGTCCATATCGCATACAGTGTCTAAATTTTAGACAATTGACGAGGCAGTAGAAACATATCGTCACATTTAGTGCCCTTCTATGTACAAGAATGACCATATGAAGTAATAATTCCTTAGCAATCTGACGTTTACATAATTTAC